GAATACAAGGATGGTTCAATATATGCAAAGCAATAAATGTGATACATCACATCAACAGAATGAAGGACAAAAATGATATGATCATTTTGATAGACACAGAAAAAGCATTTAATAAAATTCAGCATCCTTTTTGTAAGAAAAACCCTCAAGAAACTAGGCATAGAAGGAACATACTTCATTATAAAAACCATATATGATGAACGCACAGCTAACATCATACTGATGAGGAAAAACTGAGGATGCCCACTTTCACCACTCCTAATCAATATAGTACTAGAAGTCCCAGCCTGAGCAATTAGGCAAGAGAAAGAAATAAAAGGCATTCAAATTGGAAAAGAAGAAATCAAATTGTTCCTCTCTGTAGACCACACGATTATGATTGCATATCTAGAAAACCTAAAGACACCTAAATTCAGTAAAGTTTCAGGACACAAATCAAAAGGAAAATAAATTATCAAAAGGAAAATAAATCAGTAGTATATCAGAGGGATGCCTGCCTTCCCATGTTTACGGAAACAGTATTCACAATAGCCAAGATATGGAATCTACCTAAGATCTATCAATGGACACACATACACACACACGCACACACACATAAACACACACACAAAGGAATATTATTCAGTCTTCAGAAAGAATGAAATCCTGTCATTTGCAGCAATATGGATGAAACCGGAGATCATTATGTTAAGTGAAATAAGCCAAGCACACAAAGACAAATATTGCATGTTTTCACTTATATGTGGGAGCTGAAAAAGTTGATCTCATAGAAATAGAGAGTAAAATGACAAATACAAGAGGCTGGGAAGGGAGCGTGGGTGGGTAGGGTTGAAGAGAGGTTGGTTAATGGGTACAAATACACAGTTGTATAGAAGAAATAAGTTCTAATAATAATGTTTGATAGCAGAGTAGGGTGACTATAGTTAACAGCAACGTACTATGTATTTCAAAATAGCTAGAAGAGAGGACTCCAAATGTTCCCAATACATAAAAATAATTAATACTTGAGGGATGGATACCCCAAATACCCTAACATGATCATTATACATTCTGTGCATGTAAAAACAAATCACATGTATGCTGTAAACGTGTACAATTTTTTTTCTTTTTTTTTTTTTTT